CATTCCTGCCTTCTTTCCACCCCCTCCCCACCCTCTATCCAAGTCTTGAAGCACATAATTTATTTTTCTCTTTGCACTCAATTCCAATTCATTTTCCTCCTTCCTACCCCTGACTGGTGGCCATTAAATCTTTTTCTGTGTTATTTTCTTTTTCTGATAGACTTCATGATTAAAAAGTAATCTAAGATGTGCATTGATCCCCAGGCTTAGAAACCCCAGTGCATCAATGGATTTTATTTGCAAATACAAAGTCTACAGTGAGATAACACGCAAGAGGGTAATGAATTCGTAACTCCCACACCAAAAAAAAATTACACACACACATACACACACACACACACACACACACACAAACACACACACACACCCCTTGACCCTTCATTCAGAATTCAAGTAAACAACATCAGAAAGTACTTTCTGAATACCTGGTCCCAGTTCAGGCTTTATTCATACTCTCAGGTTTTTCTCCTAGGACATGGGAATTTTTCTGACAAACTCTTTCTAGAAGATATTAATAAGCTCTGATTATTTGCCTTGTAGGTTTTCAGCAGTATAGATCGAATCACTCAGAATTCAGGAGAAGAGAAAGAAGACTCTGGAGACAAAACCAAAAGCACAACTTTGCCATCCACAGAAACGTTAAGCTGGAGTTCGGAATATTCTGAAATGTATGTGAAGGGCCTCCTTGGTAACACTGCAAGCAGCACTTACTGGTGCTGTGCTTCTTGAACTTGCATGCCTATCAGAATCATCAGGGGCCTTGTGTGAACACAGATTCCTGGGCCCTCTCTCAGTCTCCAATCCAGTAGATCAGTAATGGGCCTTGAAGACATGCACTGATAACTTCCAGATCATCCTCCTAGTCTGTGACCACACTTTAAGACCCGTGGCACTAGACACGTCTTAGTTAGGCTTGTCTGAATTCCATTTGTACTGGTTTCTTGTGCAGCTCACCTGAACACAGTTCTAGTGCATACACATGACTTTGTTCTTCTTTTTAATTAAGGCAGCAGTTGTCAACATCCAACTCTTCAGATACTGAGAGCAACAGACGTAAACTCAGCTCTGGCCTACTCCCCAAACTGGCTATTTCAACAGAGGGAGAACAAAGTGAAGCTGCCCCCTGCCCTGGAGACCCCCACGAGGAGCCGGAAAAGCCAGCTCTTCCTCCTGAAGAGTGTGCTCAGGAGGAGCCTGAGGTCACCACTCCAGCTAGCACCATCAGCAGCTCCACCCTGTCAGGTAACCTCCTGGGTGTGGGGCTTGTGTCCAGCACATTGAGAAGTGACTCCTAGTGCTCTGAGTCCCAGAGCTGGCCTACCAGGCAGTGAAGATGGGTATTTTATGCTGCCTTACTCCTTCTGCGACCCCATTTCTAGACTCAGGGATGACTGCCTGAGAGCATAGGTCAGATGTTTCCTTAGTGCTGGGCCATACAGCAGACAGTTCTTGCTTCCGTTTGACCTTGGAGACCGCTTTCACACACTCAGCTAGGTCCAGTGGGATCCTCAGACAGCCAGAAGATGCTAAGGGAGCCTATTCCTTGTTTTGATGCAAAGGCTTGTCTTACGGAGTTGCATCTAACTCAGAGTTCAGAGTAAGGAACAGTATCAACCTGTCAAAATTACCCTGAAAAATGTGGTGAGTGCCCTATCAGGTCCAGTAGCAAGCCAGTTTTCTTGCTAGAATTGAAATGGGCGCTTGTTTCTTTGAAGAAGTCAGCTTTCATTAAGGGCCATGTACTGCATCTTTCTCCACACTGGACTCACGCTGAGCACAGCAAGATGTTTATGCTGCAAGGTGGGCAGACACCTTCCAGTGCATCTAGGTCTAATGGGGGAAGGGTAGTCAGAAATCCCAGCATGCTCAGAATTGATTTTTTTTTGTGCATATGAAATAACTCCACTGCAGAGGAGAGTTACCCGTTTACTATTAGAGCTGAAGTAAGAAACTCCTGAGACACTATGCCTGTTTGGGAGGCACCCAAGGGGCTTGGGCCTTTTCTTTGAAAGCACAGTTGCAATGTTACCTTGGGGTGGAGTCATCTTCCTGACAACAGGAACAGTGTCTTCACAGGTTTTTAAAGTGTTCAGTGTATTGTGGATATTTCCTGGCCCATAAGAAAGGAGGTGTCCTCTGGGACCAGCAGATGGCATAATGGATACATCACTGGACTCCTATGTAGTCGACCACAGTTCGAGTCCTGGACCTGGTGGCTTAAATTCACCTTGGGTGTGTGTGCACCCAAGATCCTGAGAGGAGAATGGAGGAGAAGGGATTGTGGTGTGGTCATCCCACCTGGGGGGGAGGTGATTTCTTGCTTTCTGTCTCTGTCTCTCTCTGTCTTTCTGGCAAGTGCATGTGCCCTATAGCAAAAATCTCTCCAAAAGAAAAAAGAAAGGAGGTATCCTCATTAGGTAATCAAATGTGTACCTCCCACAGAAGAAGCCTTTTAGGTACTTTTAAAATTTTATTTGGCTTATAATAATTTTATGCACAACATATTCTTCTAGAGAACTATATAAGTGTGTGTGTATAATTTATGATTTTTCAAAAGTAAACTTTAGCTTAGAGTTGCTATATGAAATGTTTTCAATAATCCATATTCAGTATGCTATATTGATTACCATGAATGAGTTCAAGATTTTTCATAAAAATTTTTTCAATAACTGAATATTATAGTTTCAGCTCTGTTGTTTTTATAATTATTAGGTTCTTGGAAAAGTCATGATATATTTTTCTATGCAAAAATGCATCACAACCTTCCCAACAACCCAATATTTGAAGAAAACAGATTTTACAAGCTGAATTTCTCTCATCCTCACTAAGAAGTTTGGATCTAGGAAACTTCACATGTACTTTTAGTTTGCCCTGGTGACAAATGAGGTTCAGCTTTCTTCTGTTTGTCCACCTTAGTTCTGTCTCTGTGTTGGATAATTCCACTTATCCTAACTGCAAAGCCAAGGAAATAGTAATCTTGAAGTAGTGTGGAGACAACAACCTAGTAGTCTAAGATTCCTGACCACATTTAGCTCATCCTGGTAGTCAAATCAAATGCAGATTTCTCAGTATTTTATATTCCTGGTCACAAAGGTGCCTATCTCATTATTAATTATCTTCCTCTGAAGAGAGTATATTCACCTTGAGTTAAAATTTATCTTTAAAATGGCGAATTGTTTACTGTCTCTTAGTCTCCTCAACCTACTACCAGAGAGGTAGGAGGTGACGGAAGAGAATAGTGTCTAAGCATTTGATTGATTACTTTCATAATTAAAAAAAAATCTGCCTGGGTCCTGCCATGCATTTTGATTAATAGATTCAGCCTCCTTTCTCTTTCTCTCTCTCCCCCATACACAACTAAAAATAATCAAAGACCTTGGGGGATGTACAGAATAAAGAGATGAGCTGATTTGCTTATAGCCAAGGGTAATTAGAGAATCTGAAAACCGTGACTGCAGTAAAATTAAATTTGTTGATTTTTATATTGCTCCACCATCAAAAAGAAGGAACCCTTGACATTTGGAGAACATGCAGGTGACATTACCACCACGGGCAGAAAGGAAGCACACACTTACACGCAGTGCTGCAGACTAAGACAGCAGAGCAAGGCGGGGAGCAGTAATGGAAGAGGAGGTTGCACATCCACTCTCTGGCAGTTAGAGAAGCACAGCTTCATAGCTGTTTCTCTTTTCTCATATTTGAATCTATGCAGTGCAAAAGTCTTGGTGCTCAAATGCACCAAGGTCACTCCTTGTGAAGAGATTCAGATTTTTGTTGTGTACTTACCCACAATTCCATCCAAATCAAATGAGAAGGGACTGTGTTGTGTAACTTACCCAGAGGTAAGCTCACATGCTGTGAGATCAGCTTTTGACTTGTGAAGCCATTGTTACCAAGTTCTTAATACTTGATTTCTATAAGGGAATAAAGTAGACATTCCATGAAGTGAGAGTGAGTTTAGCATTAGGAACAAAAAAAAATGGTTGAAGCGTGCCATAAGATGGTCTTTCTTCCTGGATCAGATGGGGATTTTATGGACACTCATGACTCTTTC